AAAATTATTTTGATATTTTATTATTTATTTTTTAAAAATATTATAAATAAAATATGATAAATTTTGTTAATTATTAATTAAAATTTTAAAAATATTATAAGATATATAATTATTAAAATAAATAATATTTATTATTTTTTAATAATTTAAGTTTTTTAGATTTGTTATTATTATTAAAATATTTTAAATTATGATATAATTAAATTATACGAAATTAGATTTTAATGAGTAATTTTATAATTATATTAAATATTAATTATTTTTATAAAAATTACAGTTAAAAAACTTCAAAATAAAATTTTTAACTTAATATATAAAATTACTATACACCTATCATAACTTTTTGTAGTCCTAAAAAAAAAACAATTCAAAAAAAATTATCAAAAACATATCTATTTAAAAATACTGTGTAACTAAAAAAAACCTCCAAACTGCAATGCTAAACGCACGTTGATTTTGGGCTTCCGGTGCCAGTTTTCGCCGCACCATCGATTGCTCTAACTGAGGCAGGCCTACACGAATTGCCGTAGCAACGATCGTCTCCCTCGCTTCGCCACTGTTTCTCTGCGAATTCAAATTAGGGCAGAGTCTTGGAGTTTCTGACAATCGGCGATGAGGTTTCAGTTCGCACAGAGCACCGGGAGGTTGCTCGGGCGCTATTTTGTACGGTCAACAGTTATCCACTGTGTAAAAATACAGTTGGTTCATTTTTATTCATGATTATATCTGTCTCTGTTTTAGCAGGATGAAAGAAGAGGTAGAATTTCTTGTGTTGGGGCTTTGACGCAGCATCTTTCTTCTGTAGGTAAACTACGTCTTCCATGCACATATTATGTTTGCTTTTAATGATAAGTTGTGGTCTTTCTGCGAGTAATTTAGTGGGTGTCCATTTTTATTGTTTCCAGCTGATGTTTCGGAGTTTGATGATGGATTCCACCACAATGATGACGTGAAAGTAAGGGAGAAGGAGACTGCTTTGCGTAAGGCTCTGTCCCAGCTTGGTGGTGATTTTGGGAGAGAGTCTAAGATTTCTTTGGCGAAGATTTTTGGTTCAAGAAAGATTCCTGTCATTTCTACAGGCTCATTAAAGCTTGATTTAATACTTGGGATT